GCTGCCAGGGTCTCAGGGGGTCTGGGGAGCAGGGGGAGCTGGGACCTGTGTCTTTCTCCCAACGCCCCCTGCAGCCATGAGGCCAGTGAGGGGGAAGAGGACAGGGACTCGCTCTCGCTCACAGCTACACGGAGCGCAGGACGGGGTGAGGGAACCAACCTTCCTGCCCAGCGAAGGCAGCGCCCAAGACAGCCCAGCAGCCCAGGAGCCAGAGGCCCAGCATGGTGCCGCCGCCACACAGCTGCGTGTTACCTGCCGGGCTCCTGCTATATACCACGGCGCCCGCTGTTATCTGAGACCTTGAGTGGAGAAGCCCTTTTCTGGGCGCGTGTCCAGTGGGCAGCGTGTGCCAGGCAGGGCAGCGCGGGAGCCTGGGATGGACACAGCTGCCATCCACGGCTGAGCTCCAGGCCAAGCACTCAGGGCCACGACGGGGCTGAACAGCAGCTCTGACCCATAGCTGTGAGCTACAGCCCTGCTGCCCGGGTAGGCTGAGTCTATGGACTCACATCTGAGCCCCACACTGGTAGAGGCTGTGGTCTAGAGGAGTAGAGTTGTTGCGTTTCTTCCAGAAGCCCTGTGCAGCTGGAGGAGCAGGCCTTCCCTCCATGTTTCAGGCGGGAGGCCTGGTGTGGGGGCAGTTGCTGAGGATGGAGGCCCAGAAGGCTCAGGGAGGACTCAGCCCAGGTGTGTTGTAGCCATGTGGGTGTGGGCAGAGCAGCTGGAAGGTCCAAGGGCTCCTGTGCTAAGCAGCTTCCCTTCCCCTGTGGCACATGGATCCTGGGCCCAGCGCGGTGCATGGACCAGCCAGGGGGTCTTGTTATATCACCTGATGATTGTTTTATCACCCCGTAAGTGTTATATCCACCTGTAATTGCTGCTGAGTCTGGATCAAGTGATTGTAGGGGTGCAGGGAAACCTGGTTCTTGCTTTGGTTGACAGAGTGGGTTGTTTCCTGGCAGTTGTGGAACTGGGAATGATTTGGGTTGCTGTCAGGTGCAGGATGAGCAGGTGCAGGATGAGCGGCCCCCGTGGTGACGGGCTTGATCTTCCCTGACAGCTTTTATTGTCCCTTCATGGTGACAATGTGCTGGTTGGAGCACAGAGGAGCATCAGACAGCGGTGTGGCCTTGGGCCGTTCACCTTTCCTGATGTTTCTTTTTGTTTTTCTTTTTTTTTATTTTCATATTTTTGGTTCCAATTCTGAGACTTGGCCTGGAGGACTGGACACTGGGCACTGTCTCCACGTTTTGTTTTGTTCTGTTTTGCCCAAAGCTAGCATTCTACTCCTTGAGCCATAGCCCCACTTGTGGCTTTTTAGTAGTTAGTTGGAGATATAAGAGTCTCACAGACTTTCTTGCCCTGGCTGGCTTCAACCCCTGATCCTCAGATCTCAGGCTCCTGATTAGCTGGGATCAGAGGTGTGAGCCACCAGAGCCTGGGGACATTTGTCTTACTCGAACTCCTTGTCTGTTCCTGGCCTTGGCTCATTTTAGAAGATGGTCTAAGGACAGAGAGTGGGCCACATGTGTTAGGCAGGAAAGCAGAGCACTGAACACTCGGTGTCCTGCCTGAATGAAACCACTCTGCACGAGTGAGCTCATCGTGTAAGCCGCGCTCACCAGGCCCCTCCTGGAAGAGACCAAGTTCACCAGTCCCCGGTGTAGCAAGCCTGCACTGCAGGAAGGAGTGGGAATTTTTTTAAATATCTATTTTTTTTATTGTAAAGATACTGTACAGAGGGATTACAGTTACATGGACAAGGTAATTAGTCCATTTCCTATCAAGCATTGTTACCCCCTCCATTGTTTTTCCCCTGCCATCCCTTTCCTCCCTACCTTGTCAATTTCTTATCCCACCCACTCCGCCACAGTTCAAAGCCAGCCTGGGCAGGAAAGTAGTCAAGAAACTCTTATCTTTAATTAACCACCAGAAAACTGGAAGTGGTGCTGTGGCTCAAGTGGTAGAGCGCTCACCTTGAGCTGAGCTGAAGAGCTGAAGGACAGTACCCAGGCCCAGAGTTCAAGTCCCACGACCAGAAAAAAAAAAAAAAGAAAGAAAGATCAAATACAACCCAGGCTCTGTTCACTTATGCCTAGAATCCTAGCTACTCAGGCTGTTGAGATCTGTGTATCGCGGTTCAAAGCCAGCCTGGGCAAGAAAGTTTGTGAGATTCCTACCTCCAATTAACTACCAGAAAACCAGAAATGACCTTGTAGTTCAAAGTGGTAGAACACTGGCCTTGGGGACAAAAAGCTCATGTTGGTACAGTGCCCTGATCCCGAATTCAAGCCCCAAGCCTGGCAAACAAACAGCAAGCAAAAAATAAAATGAAAACAGGTGAAAAAAGATCAAACATACATCACCACCAGCTATGAAGTTATATTTTTTAATTTTTATTGTAGAGGTGATGTGCTGAGCGTTTAGTTACATGTCAAGATCACCTTTCTTTTTGGACAAGATCACCATTCCCTCACTCTTGGTTATAATAATTTATTTCTTATCATGGACAGCAAGACCAGGAGGCCCACTCTTAAGGGGACATTACCAATACCGGGTACTGAAGAGATTGAGAGGGGAGGATCAAGGTTTGTAGCCAGCCAGGGCAGGAATGGTGGCAAGACTCCAATGAACATGCAAAAAAGCAAGATTTGGAGCTGTGGTTCAATTTTGCCTTCAGCAAAACAGCCAAGTGAGTGCAAGAGGCTCTAGGTACCTGTATAATGGGACTGGGGGGGGCAGTGTAGAAGAAAGGAAAGAAGGAAGAAAGTAGCAAGGGAGTGAGGAAGAAAAAGGGGGAAAATGGAAGGAAGGGAGGAAGGAAGGAAGAAAGGGAAAGAAGAAAGAGAAAAAGAAAAAAGAAAGAAAGAAAGGGAGTAGGAAAGAGGGAAAA